TTCTATCATGGATTCAGTCTTCGTTGTCAAGTGTGATACTTTCTGACATTATAGGACGTACGCACTCATATTTTTTAGATTTGGGAGAAAATCCATTCATATTTTCATCACCAGACTCGTGTAAAGGTGCGACAACTGCGATTTGAACTCTACAACTCGTTGCTTGATGATCGACTTGTAAATGAGATTATTCTTTGTGTAAAACCACTCGTTGATGCACTATTTTTTGTCGAAGATTCGATTTCACACCAAGAACATCGAGATGTTATTCTTGAAGGACTTCCATAGGATTGTGATCCTGTTATTTCTCTTGTTGAGGGTAAGGTTTCTCCAATGGCTATTGAAGAAATTGAAGATCTTGTACTTGCTCAAGAACTACAATTAAAGAAGTATAAGAAGAGAAAACTATATGCAAGACTCATTCAATAAATGCTGTACATGTTAATTCTCAACCTAAACCATCACAACCTAACAAGTCAAATCATAACGATTTTCATGACCAACTGTCATTCGGTAACCATGTTGGTGGCTATCATGGTCATGGTGGTGGTCGTTTTGGTAAAGGAAGAGGAAATGGAAGTTGCTTCAAATCTTCAATGCAAAGTGTGCTTCAAATATGGTCATACAACAATAGTGTGCTATCACAGATTCAATCAAAATTATCGACCCACCCTATGCTTCCATATCAACATTTTGACAATGCCTTTTATTGGAACAACAATGCTCCGAGTGCTCCTCCTAGTTTTGATCCTAAACCATTTACATCCACTAGTGTAAAAATTGGATTTAAAATCGGAGTTTTAAGATCGGTTATAAGGTAACCGATCTTAAAAGTACTTTTAAGATCGATTCTTTTATGTCCGATTTTAAAAGTGCTACTTTTAAAATCGGTTATTCTAGAACCGATTTTGTATGTAGTATACAAAATCGGTTCTGAAATAACTGATTTTAAAAGTATCGTCATAAACCTTTTATATTTCTGGATTTCCCTCCAATTTCATTCTCTTTAATCTTCCCCTCCTTCGTTTTTACACTCTCTCGCGCTCTCATTTTTTAAAGAGGTAAATTTCGTTGTCGTTTTCGTTTTCGTTTTCCTCTTCTCGTATCTTTTTTCATTTTCTCTTACTCTTTTCTTGTCTGTATTTTCGTTGTAGGTTCATTCATTTTGAACAAGTTTCGAATCTGGAACGGCCCATTCTGCAAGGAGAACAGGCCGTTCTCCATGCAGTACGGCCCGTACTGCAAGGAGAACGACCCGTTCTCCATGCAGAACGACCTGTACTGAAAGGAGAACGGCCCGTGCTCCATGCAGTACAGGCCGTACTGAAAGGAGAACGACACGTTCTCCTTGCAGTACGAGCCGTACTGCATGGAGCACGGCCCGTTCTGAGCAACGTTCTTCATTTTTTTCTTTTCACAATCGTTACAATTTTGGAACGGCCCTTTCCAGTTTAAATTTTTTCTTTCTCAGCCAACTTTTAAAATCGATTATTTTATAACCGATCTTAAAAGTTGGACTTTTAAAATCGGTTATAAAATAACCGATTTTAAAAGTCCAACTTTTAAAATCGGTTTTTTTAAAATCGGTTACGAAACCAATTTTAAAGGTTAAAAATAACCCATTTTAAAAGCCTTTTTTCCATTAGTGATCAAATCCTTATTAGTACAATCGTGTTGTTCCATCCACTTAGCAAAAACTACCACAAGCATTTGTCACCAATGCTGATCGGTCTACCTCACAATAGTGGTTTCCAGATTCTGGAGCCTCCTTTCATGTCACGAATAGTGCCAACAACAAACTCCCTTTAAGGTCCTGATCAAATCCTCATAGAAAATGGTGAAGGTCTATCGATTGGATCCAATTATATTACAAGCACTTTAAATCCTCATTTTTCTCTTGCTTCATGTTTCACAAATTACTAAAAACTGGATAAGTGTTAGTAAATTTGCAAGTGATAATAATGTGTATTTTGAATTTCACGCTAAATGTTGCTTTGTGAAATCTCAGGCCACTAAGGAGATTCTACTACATGGGAGTATTAGACCAAATGGACTCTACACCTTTTTTATTATTTGTCAATTTGATGTAATGATATTTGTGTGTTGGAAAAATAATTCAAAGTTTTAAATTCAAATATCTGATATATTATTTAGATTTTAAAAGATATTGATTGTTTTAAGATATAGTTTAGTATTGAAATATATTATATTTATTTTAAAGATTTATTTTCTCTTTTATGATTAGGATGTAAGATCAATAAATAGATATTTTTAAGATGAGAATAATCACCTGATCTATAAAGTGGATCACTACCTTCACTAGTACAAAAGAGGTAATTTACGTCGGTTATTTTAAGTTTTTAACGTCAGAAAAATGTCTGACGTTAATGCAGGAGACATAAATTTACGTCAATTTTCAAAATAAAATTGACGTAAATTTACGTTGATTTTGAAAGCCAACATAAATTTACGTCGGACATTACCAAGGTCCAACGTAAAAAAGTAATAAAAAAAAACATAACGAGTGCAAGCAGAACGGCCCGTTCTGTTTGGAGAACGGGCCGTTCTGCTTGATAGAACAACCCAGAAGAAAAGGCTAACAACCTAAACAAATAGAATAACCAAAAAATCGAATAGAACAGATAGCCACAATAACAATGCGAAGCAAAAAGGTGTTAGCGAAACCCTGATTCATACCTAATGAGCTGCAACAGTGTGCGAATGAGTAATGAAGAGTTCACCTCACTCTATAGAAGACAAAAAAAATGATTCAGCAACAAAGGAGAGGGAGAGGGTTTACAGAGAAGAATCTAGAAAAGTGATAATGAGATCCGAGTGAGTGAATGCGTGCGGGTGTGCCTCCCACGCTCTCTTATTCGCTTTCGCGTCTTTTTTTTACGTCGGACTTGGTAGGATCCGACATGTAAAATCTATGTCGGATGCAGATTTTACATTTTACGTCGGACCCTACTAGGTCCAACGTAAAAAAGTTCACAAAAATTACAAAAATGCCACTGCGTCTTTTTTACGTCAGATTTTAGTGTGTCCGACGTTAAAGAGGTGACGTAATATACTAATTTTCCACTAGTGCTTAAATGCGAGAGGAGGTCATATGAAGGAAGGTTTCCAAGTTTTGCCAAAAAACTTGTGAGGGAAACGTTTCTAAGTTTTACCCATAAAACTTGAAGGAAAAATTTATATATATATAATATATATATATATATATATTTGTAATATATTTTGATAGATAATGAACATTCTTGTAAATGTAGACATGAGAGACTAAATCACGTAAAATTTGTGTAGTCTTTATTTATTTATTTATTTTTAATTTCTTTTATGGTATTGTTTTAATGTATTTCTTATGTTTATTATGCGTAAAAGAAAAAAAAGATTTTTTGTTCCTAACAATATGTAAACATGTATGTAAATTTATTTTGATTATCTTTATGAATAATATTCAGTTTGTGAAATTTCTCTCTCTCTCTTTCTCTTTCTTCTTCTCACAACTTGAGACTAAAATAACATAATTATGATATTTAAGGGACTAAAATTACTCAATTAAAAATTGGAAAACTAAAATTAAATAATTAAATACTTTAAATATTAAAATTATTCAATCAAAATTTGAAGAATTAAAATTACACAACTATGAAATTAAATTCTTATGCTTACTTAAAATATTAAAATTGTTCAATTAAGGTTAAAATTAATGGAGTAGCTTGACAAATATATAGGGTAAGACAAAAATCAAATCTACGAAGGTAAGCATAAGAATTCAGAACATTTGTTAAAGTGCAGTTTGGCAGGGGTGAGTTTTTATGACCGGATTTACTTACTAAAACACGTAAGTGAAGATATATAATTAAGATATATTTTAAATAATGTTATCTATCAAGTTAAAAAGTCTTCTTATTTATACGTAATTGTTAAGAAGTACAAATTTAAAAGAATATAAAATGACAAGCCGAGTAGGCATGATTAAAGTATAATTTAAGTTTTAAACTCGTGAATATCGTGATTATAAGTATTGGTTGTAACTTTTATAACCTAAATTCGTAAAAAAAAAAAATAATTTCAATTTGGACCGAGTTAATAGGATGACAGATCATGCATGAAAATCCGGGAAAAGGAAATTTTCACCTCACTAGTTAGGTCTGGTTAATTATTTTTAAATTAAGTGAATCGAATATGTCACCTAACAACATCTTTTAATTTGACTTTCTTTTACTCAACATAACATATTTGATTGATCCAATTTATGTACTAAAAGAAAAATTATTCAATTTAAACTTTAGATTTATTCAGATAATTTTTTTTCTTCTCAAAATACACTTAGAATGAAAAAAATAAGAGAAAATCAAAAACAATTTTTATGAATTAAAAATAAAATTTGAAAGAAGTTAATAAATTTTTTTTTTACAAATTAATTCATATGGATAAGTTAGTTTAATTTTTTGAAAAAAATTATTTCATTTTTTTAAAACAAATTACCCACTTTTTTAGTGGTTCAATTAAAGTCGATCAATTTGACGTGTATTGTCGTAATCATCATCATGTATAAGCTTATTGAACTGTGTTAATGCTACAATCTTTTAGTAATAAATTCTTATTAAGATACCGTTTAGATAAGCTTATTTACAACTGTTTATAAACAAATAAAAAATAAATTTCTTTCATAAATTAAATTAGTCCATATATAAATTAATTTTGATTATAAAAGGAACTTATTTAATTTTTTCTTATTTTTTTATAAACATTTACGTAGAAAATCAATTAACCTTTTTACTATTGTTTCTCATAACATTTACGTAAAACAAATTATGTTGTTAGGGGTTAGTTTGAAGCACATGTCTACATGGAAAGTAACATGAATAAAACTGGTCGGTGCCAAGAAGAATGGTAGATACAAAATCTTTCTAATATTTCACATGTCTCATTCATGATTCATTCATTCATTCATTCACGTAGTTCCACTATTACACTAACACAAAACCATAATGGAGTCAGAATCACGTTACCAGCCACTACTACTTGGTCTTGACTCACACTCCCACATTCCAGACTTGTCATCAGATACCATTGAAGAATTCTTGAAACAAAGCTCCATTGAGTTGAGATGGTGGCCCCAACTTGTTGCTTGGGAGTCAAGGCTCTTGTGGCTCCTCTCTTGGGCTTCCATTGTTGTCTCCATTTTCAATTACATGCTGAGCTTTGTGACCCTCATGTTTAGTGGCCATTTGGGGTCTCTAGAGCTTGCTGGGGCATCCATTGCTATTGTTGGAATTCAGGGTCTTGCTTATGGGATTATGGTATGTTTGTTTTGTGCTCTCAATTTTTTACCTTGTCATTTTGAGTGACCTTTGTTTTTGGGAGTGTAGAGCACCAAAATCTTCTACTAGAGACAATCCAGTTCGAATATACTAGGACCCTTATATTTTGAGTGGTAATAGAAGGAGACAATTTTGTTCAAATAGAGTATTTTGAACATCTTTGTATTGTATATATTTTATAGCAACACACTTTATTATTGACTAAAATTTATTAGAAACTAAAAGAATCATGAATGAAATTTAGTAAATAAAAAGTGAGAGACATAAAATTTTGTTATTTTTAATAAATTTTAGTTAATAATAATTATCAACACTAATTGACACAAGCGATAGTTTCTTGTATTTTTTAATTAAAATATCTAAAATTTGAATATTGACCATGATCTCGAATATGAAATAAATTATATGTTAGACATAGAATGACGCATATTCTGTAATAGAGATTAGTCCATGCTTTTTATTTTTTTTTTTTTGATGAATATTTCATATTAATAGTATAGTTACTAAAAAAAAATGTGTTTTCAACATTTTTCAATCTTTCATTGAGGGAAAATTTGTTGGTTTTAATTTTTTCTATTCATATTTGTTAATGTGGTTGTTGAATTCTCCTTAAACAGTTGGGAATGGCAAGTGCAGTGCAAACTGTGTGTGGGCAAGCATATGGGGCAAAAAAGTATTCAGCAATGAGCATCACATTGCAAAGAGCAATCATCCTACACTTGGGAGCAGCAGTGATTCTCACCTTTCCCTTTTGGTTCTCAGGATCATTCCTCAAAGTCATAGGGCAATCAGAGAGCATAGCAGAGCAGGGTCAAGTTTTTGCACGCGGAATCATTCTTCAGCTCTATGCATTTGCACTATCATGCCCTATGCAGAGGTTCCTCCAAGCACAGAACATTGTGAACCCTCTTGCATTTATGTCAGTTGGAGTGTTCCTTCTGCATGTGGTTCTCACTTGGTTGGTTGTCTTTGTTTTGGAGTATGGACTTCTTGGAGCTGCCCTTACTCTCAGCTTCTCTTGGTGGCTTCTTGTGTTGTTAAATGGGATGTACATTGTTCTTAGCCCAAGATGTAAGCAAACTTGGGTTGGCTTTAGTGTGAAAGCATTCAAAGGAATTTGGCCTTACTTCAAGCTCACAGTTGCTTCTGCTGTGATGTTGTGGTATAAACCAAAAGTCCACCTATTTTTCACTTTCTTGCACAATCAAACGTCTTAAACAGGACAAAATTTAGATAGAATTCCTCAAGTATTTTTGGTGTTGTTTTCCAATTAGTATCAAAGTTTTACTTCAATAATCTTCATAATATAAGTTTGCATTTAAGATCGACATAGATTATTGAGGAAAAATTTCAATTCTGATTGGAGAATAATTAAAAAAATATCTAAGGAATTGTGTTAAGTTCTGTCCTTACAAAAATACAACCTTGGTTTTCAATTTGTTCCCTCTTTTCAAACACTTCTTTAGTGAAGACACCAAAAATGTTATCATTGCCATTTCTAGTACAGATTTTTTGAGAAGAGGAATAAAGTGAAAATAAGATGATATTTTTGTAATTATTAATTAAAACAGGATAAAAAAAGTGCAGGCCATACATACCCTTTAAGTTCACATTTTTTTCTTTAACAAGCTGAAAGTGCATCCTAGTGTAGTTTGGAGATATGGTACAATCAGGGACAAATACTTATAGCTGGGTTGCTTTCCAATCCCACAGTCTCAGTGGACACTATTTCCATTTGGTATGCTATTCTGAGAACAACCTTTACTGCTATAGCCGATTAATCTTAAATTTCATGTTATCTTAACTATAATTTCCATGCCTTTCATGTCAATGAATGTACATTCAGTATGAATTACTTCAACTGGGACCTGCAATTTATGTTGGGTCTAAGTGCCGCAGCCAGGTTAGTGTCAAAAGATTAAGATTTTGTTTAGATAAATTTCTTCAAAAACATTTAAAAAAAAATAAGAAGAAAAATTAAATAAACTTCTAAAATTAATTTTAACTTATGCATAAGTTAATTTAGAGAAACTCTTCTATATTAGCTTCTCCAAGATATGTTTTTTAATTTATATACTAGCTAATTTTAACTTATAGAAAGGATAATTTTATTTTTCCTTCTTATTTTTATCTCAAAAGCGTTTATGAAGAAGTTTATCCATATAACAAAAGAATGTTCATTTAAACAACTTTCTAATCAATATGCTAATTGGAATTTGGGTGATTGCAGTGTCCGAGTCAGCAATGAATTAGGGGCAGCTCATACAAGAGTAGCAAAATTTTCTGTCATTGTAGTGAATGTAATCAGCATTCTCATCAGTATATTTTTCTGTGCAATTATTTTGATATTGCGGGTACCTTTGAGTATGCTTTTCACTTCTGACTCTGAAGTCATTGAGGAGGTATCTAGTTTGACTCCACTGCTTGCTATCTCAGTTTTCCTAAATTTCATTCAACCAATATTGTCAGGTAACAAAATCTATATGCATAACTACCACTTTTGGAAGGGAGAATTCTAATTCCCCCTATAGGTTATTCATATTTGGAATCTTTGGATTTGATTTTTGAAAACATTTCCATATAGTCTGTTTAGATAAACTTCTCTAGAAAAAATTAATTTGAAAGAAAAATGAAATAAGCTTCTTTGTAAGTTAAAATTAACTTATGCAAAGAAGTTTTTGAAGTAGTAATATAAAGGAACTTATAAAAAAGTTTATTTCAGTTTTTCTTTCTATATTTCTTTTCTCTTAAAAGTATTTTTAGAAAAATTTATCTAAACAAATGAAAATTAGACAAGTCATATTTTATCTCAATAAATTAAACTTAAAAACACATTTGGAATATGAGCTGTCCGATCTACATCCAATGGTCATAAATGTCTTATTTCTATCCCCAAGTGATGTGATTATGGTAGTTGGAAAAATAGTCAATTGGATCATTGCAAATAAATTGTGATTTAAAGTCATTAATTTTAGTATATAGTAGTTAAATTAATTTAGCAATTAGTTAAACATGTCCTAAGATGTTTACTTTTATTTGGGAAATTTCAGGAGTTGCAATTGGAAGTGGATGGCAAGGTGTAGTGGCTTATGTAAACTTGGCTTCTTTCTATGTCATTGGTCTTACTATTGGATGTGTTCTTGGCTTTAAAACAACTCTTGGAGTAGCAGTAAGTTTGAAAGATTTCCCACACTAACACCAACTCTGTTTCTTAAGTTTGCATGAAAACTTGTAGCATTTGGGATTGTCACAGGGTCTCTGGTGGGGGATGATCCTTGCTGTTCTTGTGCAAACAGCAACTCTAATAATTCTGACTGCAAGAACAAATTGGAATGCAGAGGTAAATTCAAGTTATTATGTGTTACAGGAATTGTTTGTCACATGTAAAGTTCTGAAACGATTTGTAATGATATTGTAGGTTGAAAAAGCTGTTGCTCGCATCAAAAGATCAGCTGAAGATGAGACCCTAAATCGCTTCATTGCCAACGAATAAGATTTTTTTTTTCTTCTTCATGCATATATAGTATAGAAGCTATTTTTTTTTATATATATATAATAAATAAAGGGTAGATGAGCGAAAATATCACTATGCAATGTGTGATCCTAACTAAGTTCACGTCACACCTAAATCAATCATATGCAACACATCCAGAAAATAATAATTTTGTTTTGGGTCCCATGTATATCATTTGATTCGTTGCTCCATTTAGTATCAGTTCATATAATATTGAGGATAAAGAACTAAAATATCACTCCCAGCATAAATATGTGTGGCATTTTCCTCCAAACCGTTGATTACTGAAGTAAATTCCATAAATATGTCCAGTGTGACGTGTGCAAGAGACACGTTCAAAATTAAAAATTGCAAATTCATGACCATATATGTATAAGTATCCTTCACGCTCTCCCAAGTTACAGAAGTTATCTCATGCGAGTTACTTGAGGCTTACGAGCCTAAAATATCAGTACATAACCGCAGGAATTAAAATAACCAAAAAACAGTTATAAATAATAGGGATAATTTATCAAGAATAAAATGGAACAAGGAAATGTCAAACCTATTAGATTTTTCAACAAGTTTATAATCTTTCAAAATGGACAGTTATTTATTAAAAACTAATGTCAAGGACAAAAATCAGAATAATACCTCGTGAAATTTCTGAAAGCTGCTTATTCTATAATTGTCATGTCTTATTACAAGCCAACGTTTTTCACACTCGCATGGAAATGTCCGAGAGTGGATAAGATTACATATATGAAAAAAGTTTAAATGATAAATTATTGCATGAAACAATCATCCACACAATAACACAGTGATTTCGTTAACTTGCTTGAACTGTTAAAAAGTGAAAATTAAAAGGCGAGGAAAAACACAAATTATTATTATGCAAATATATAGGGTAGATGAGTCCAGCGACATTCTGAAACTAATGACGCACTTTTCTACACATGATAACTATAGAAGCCATGACTTCTCACGTAGAATATTCACATTAATTACCTGTTCTTGACAGCATAGACTATGGATACGCAACACAAGGCGTGACTTGGACAAAACATTAAGCTATATATATATATATATATATATCCTATAGGTTGATAACAAGGGAACAGAAGTGTCCTAGTGAACTGCTTCTGTCCACTAGTCGTGACCCCGAGATGATTGATTACATACGAGATATTTGCAGTGGGATAGACAAGGAAGCCTCTTCTCCCATGGCTGGCTGGAATAAATCAAGCTCTCCATATCGCTCCAGCACGCGCATCCGGCAGTCTTCGGCCGCCATCATTCCGGTGGAGAATGCCCCATGGACAGACCCTGTATAGCTCATACTTGTCGCTTCCCCTGCAAAGAACAAGTTATCTACTGGTACTCTTAGCCTCTCGAACAGTTCATGGGATTTCCCTACTGCATCATAGCTATATGAACCCAGGGAGTTTATATCTGACCCCCACCGAGACACCAGATACTGAATCTGCATAATGGAGCAAATAACCAGTTCAAATGCATAGACCATACTTTGATACAGGTAAAATAATAGATTTATAACAATCCTAAGTTAGACTTTTCATTTGAGGAGTTTATAGACTCCTTTGACTAGCTTATAAGCTAGTTTCACCAAAATAAACTTGTAGTTTAATTTCATAAAATAATTGTAGATCATAGCTTATGAGCTTTTAATTTTTTTTTCCTCTTTTTTTTTATCCTCATTAATTTACTTTAAGTCTTTTTTACCTTTTTTAATTTAAAATCTATTTTTCTTACAAGTTATTCTTCCATTCTGATTATCAAATAAATAAATGTGAGCTAGCTTATCAACTAATCTTTTAATTCAACTAATTAACTTTTCCAGCTTTTTAACTCCTACCTTATAATTTATAACTTATAAGCTTCCAATCTTTTAGCACCTAGCTTATAACTTAAAAGATTCTCGCGAACTAATGAGCTAATTTTAGCAAACATATCCTGAAATTAAACTTTTGGTTTCCTAATACAGCCAATCCGTGTTTGGTTCATATATCCAATTATTTCCCAAATTTGGTTCATCCACTAACTTCTCAATCAAATAACCGACAAAGATGCTGACATGGCTGATACACATGGCCAATAAGGTATTGACATGAGTGGTACATGATGATACCCTATCAGCACTTCGTCGCTAAGTCAGCTTCTCCTTTAAGTATTGGATGACAAGTTAACGGATATACCGAAATTGTGCAATTTTAAAAATATGGAGACCAAACTAGTGGAATTAAAAATGATAAGACCAAAATCATGGATTGCCTATAAAAAGGAGACCAAAAATATCTGTAGTTTAGACAATGTACCAGAGATTGAAGAGTTCCTTTTTGTTGAACTGCTTAAGGCGAAACAAGTAAAAAGCAAAATTAGTATGGTTACCGTACCGGTGAAGAAGCATCTGGAAGAATCTTCTTGAGCTGCATGAAAGCGAAGTTGGCAGCTGCTTCATCAGACATCTTTTCGATGTCTTTGGCAAGCCGCCCAGAAGGCATGTAAACAAGGACAGGATGACCTGCAGCCTTGTGGAGATTAAGGAAGTAGCTACAGGCATAAGATGTGTCTGCAACCACTCCCAAAAACTCCACATTAGGCCAAAACACATTTTCAAAGTGTAAAATGATTTTATTCTCGAGTCCAATCCCAAGATCAGCTATGGCAGCTTCCTTCCAGTCAGGGAGCTTTGGCTCAAACAATATTCGCTTTGCTTTAAGCACCCCAAGTGGGACAGTGATGATAGCAGCATCAGCAACAAATGTTTTCCCTTTTTCCACTGTTACCTTTACTCCATTATATCGCCTAGCTATTTTTGTGACACTGAAAAGGAGCATTACCAAATAAGTAAATAAAATAAACAAATACAATTCTAAAACAACAATTCAAAATAATATCTACCTGTGCCCCAGGCGAATATCAAGACCCTTGGCTAGGGTGTTTATAACAGGTAAGTAGCCCCGGACCATAAGACCGTGACCACCAGGGAGCAGCACCTCCTGTAAGTACACACCAGAAGAGTGATATATAATAATATATACAAGAAAAAGTAATTCAGGAAAAAGAAATTTCTTGTAAGATGCTATAATTAGGGTCAAATTATGTCTGATTAATCTAATATGTATTATTTTCCAACAAACTTTACGGTAGGCCGGTATTAGTGCATAACAATTTTCAACCCTAATGCCGATAAAGGTAGACCACCTTTTCACAATCATACAATATGATGGTATATTCAGATGACAGAGGATTCCTAACATCCCACCCCAACTACCTAACAAAAAGGCACCGCCAATTCATAGTGGAGGAAGAAAATTTTAAAGATTGTGTTTATTGTGTTGACATTTGCTTCAAATCTTAGGCAGACGTCATTCATTTGACTCTAAATGATGCAATGTGCCTAAGATTGTTTATTAATGTACAAAAGGTTTCAATCAGATACATACTCCTATATGTAGATCAGGAAACACATTTACACGATTATCGGTCATAGAAAGGCTGCATGTTGAAGAATCATGCACCTGGCTATGAGACGACTTTACAAATTATTTCTTTCACTAAAGGAGATACCTGTATGTAACACAAAGAGAATTGATCATTCAGTGTGTAAATTGGGGTATGGGGTGGGTGGAGAGGGGGGTGGAAATTGGATTTGGAACTCAACCGCTAATATAATACAGCATCTTCAACTTAATTTGTTGAAATTACCTGGTCCCAGCCTTTCAGTGAAATACTATCGGAATCTGCAGCAAACCAGCCCTCCATTCTGCATAGATACCACTGAAGTACCTTATGAGCAAGCCCCTCCAACCTGAATTTAAGAGTAGAAGTAAAATTATCAATTACTATGCCTGAAAAACCAATAATGGTGTGAAAGAAATTATTTTTTAAGCCTATAATAACACCTGAATTCTGGCTTCCTATGAAAAACAATTGAAAGACCACGAAGTACAGACATGTCTTCACTGAATTCTTGTCTTATTTTATCTGTCTGCATTATTAAGTCATGGACAATCATTAGATGGGATTTTCACAGGGACAGATTATTTAGAAGTGATAACTTTAGACATGCAATTTATCCTAAAATTCTTGCAACTGTGAAAATACATTTTATTAAGTAAAACAAATATGTACGAAAATTAATATAAAAAAAATGACCTACCTCCTGCAAAATTGTCTCAAATATTTCACCAACTTTTGTTACCAGCTCTTGGGGAACCTGATTTCCTTCCGTATCAAAAAGTGCATAGCTGCAAGAAGTTGATGAATTTCAATAATAATAATAATAATAATAAACTAGCATGTAGTAATTTCTGCTATGCAGAATGACCAGAAAAATATTAAAAATACTTGGTTGCCAAAAAATATTTTAAATGATCATATGCTACGCAATTGTAGCAGAATTAGTAAAATAATAGAACATAAAAATCTATATATTTACCTTTCCAAATCATGATCATAGAGCACGGAATTATCCCCACTAGTACGGTAAAGGGGTAGCCCCAGCCTCCCAATCACCGAAGCCAGTGGATTCTCCTTGGAAACTCCATGCAACCTGAAAAGTGTGTAGCTTTTAGATCTAAAACAAAAAACAAATGAAGAAAAATTGCTTTCAGAAAATAATGAGAAAAAGCTTTACCATGATGCTCCCAGGTCAACAGGAAAACCAAATGAGTAATCAGTGTGAATTCGACCGCCAATTCTTTCCCTCGACTCTAAGAGAACAACCTGACCAAAAATTAAAAATAAAAAGCACCATTTAGTCCCTCAACTCTGAAAAAAAAAATGGACTAATAAAAAACTTCTAGGTTCAAGTTTCAAAAAACTTGCATCATTTGCTCAAACAAACTTGAATTTCTGTCAAGTTCCACAAATTAAAAAAAGAAGTTTTTGCCACCAAATCATGTACCGCTTCCGTGCCTTTTGTGGAACTTCATTCACCCAAATGTATGTACAAAGCCAGCCCAATTCTAAAGTATCAAGTATCACCCAAGACATTCCCCTGTAACCACTACAAGCTTCTAATCAACCAAGCCTTACCAACAGATAACCTATAAATTGACCCAAACCAGGGGGAAATCACAATCGTTGATTAACCCACCAATTTTTTTCAGTGAAATAGAATGCAATTGACTTTAAACTTCATAAGTTTTTGCTTACAAGGTTTATTCCTTGGAAGAACTCAATGCACTCAGGCAACATAAAGTATTGTTTTATGACAGAGTAGCATACAACTCGAAAAAGAATTATTCTTCAAATTCGTAACAATTAGCTCGGTTACCTGAAACGAAGCATCATGGAGTGCACGAGCAGCAGCAATCCCAGCCATGCCACCACCGACAACAATAACAGATGGTGACCTCTCCTGCTGCTTGCTAACATTTCCATAACAATTAGCTACAAGAAAAGGAAGAAGAAAAACAGTAAATAACATTGGAGACAGTATAAACTAGATTTTTTTTTTTTACAAAAAAAAAAAAAAGAACACATAGCTTACGTACACAAAATAATCCTTGTCTATTCCTTAACTTGAATTTATATTATTTGTATACTCAAGCGATCAATATTTAATACTAAAACCATTTATCGGACAGCGGATAACTGTTAATTCCCTTCACAAATCATTCCACAAATTGAAGATATCGGAGGGCATCTTGAGTAAAAAGTTAAATTATTCGTACAACTTTTTTTTTCTCGTTCTCTCTTTTCATTTTATTATATATCTTATCTTAAGATTCTCTCTATTCCTCGTACGAACATTTTTTTTTTCCCAATGTTACTGTAAAAAAAATCTAAAATCATGGGAGAAAACAGAAAAGACAATCAAAATCGTTTCCAAACGTCACAGCTGTTTATAGTTTACAAACTACATAAACAAGTTTTTTTTCTTCTAAACCTCGCAAAGAAGACTCTATGCACGCATTTTTGTTTAGAACCATGGTTTTAAATTGCCGTTATAATATTAGTGTGTTGTGCTTTTAATTCACCAAAAACTTATTACAGTGATGTACTTTTAAATTAAATCACCAAAAGTTTCACAATGTAGTCGCAACCCAGATCTGTAACACCATTTTATTTCACTTTTTTTTTTCTTTCCAAAAACACACAAATTCAAATTTTAATCTTTTAATCTAATAAAAAATATTAAAAGAGGGAGAAAAACAACTAACAATGATTGGTTAAATTGTTGAGAGATACATAATCATTTAAGAAAAAAGAGAAAGAAATTTAGAATAAAAAATTAAGAAAAAATAATTTAATTGATTTTTATTATAATAAAATTATTTATTTATATTTAATATAAATATATAATAATTTCACGTTTCGATAATCATAATTCTCATGGCATCAATCACAATAACCATAATCATAATGACCAAAATTGTAACCACAATTTAAAACCATGTTTAGATCACATTCGGTGCACACATTTGGTCTAAACATAATAATATAAAAAAGAATTTAATTGTCATGCATTATGATAATCTAAAAAAAAGAAATTAAACTATTAACTAATCCAAAAAACTAACATCTGAAAATATTTATTCATCACAGTATAAAATGTCTATTTATATCAATTAAATTGAAATAAAAATAATTAAACTTTAAAATATTTTTCACTTACTTTTCATGTTATTTTGTTTTATATTCATAATAAGAATTTTAATTTGATAATCCAGTGATAATAACTTGTATACAATTTTCATTTCTAACACATACTTTTTTCTTTGAAAGCAACAATTTTTTTTCTTCTAATTAGTTAAGTTCTCTAAACACAAATAATTAAATTATTAAAATAATTTTTCAGTTTATATATTTATTATTTTGTGTCTAATTTTGAATTTATATTTTTTTTTGCATTTTTTTAATTCTCGGATATTAAATACCACTTCAACATAAAAAATATTTTAAATTTTTTTTTTAAAAAAATAACTATAAAAACTAAAATAATTAAAAATATTATAATATAAAAACTAAAAAATCTATCTTAAATTATTAAAAATTAAAAAAATAATAAAATAAAATTATAGAACAATTTAATCTAATTAAATTTATATTACCTATTTTCAAGTTTAAAATAATATCTACAAACGCGTACGGTTCGCGTCTGGTAGACACACACGTGCTCCCATTCTTACTGACATACGAACCTTTTCATTTTTCAACAATAATAAAACGCAACGCAATATTAAAATCCTTTTTTCCACTTCTCACCATAAATAATATCTATTTTATTATTCTATCCTCTAATAAACTCACACGCACACGAACACAGTCACGCACCACCGACATTTGAAAAAGCACAAATAACTTGCAAAATCGAAAGCAGAAAACGCGATCAAAAGCAAACCTCTCGTTAATTGGTGATTACTCTTAGTTCTCGACTCCATGACCGGAACAAAGCTTGCGATCACTGTTTCTACCGGAATCGGAGGCGGAAGAGAGGCGTTGAGGCGAAAAATGGAGGAAAAAAATCAACAGACACGTGACGAAGTGGTTGAAATTCAAGTTCGACGACAAATCCAGCTTCCCGAACCGGTTCATGCAGCTCGAACCGCGAAACCGAATTGGACGGCGAAGAAGCGAGAACGTTCTGGAACTTCCGTCGGAGAGAGGAACGAAAGGGGAAAATCTAGAGAGAGAAAATTCTAGAGAGAGAGAGAGAGGTGAGGGACGGTTGAGATGTGATATCGGAAGGCGATTTTCGTCTGAGATTTATAGAGTTGGTTGGAAGCGCTCGTCGTTCGTTCCAGCCAAACTGGACCTTCTCGCTCACGCGCTCGTTCGCGCGTGGGGAGGACTTGCTGCGGAAAAGAGACACGTGGATTGTGATTTTTGGTAATTTAAAACGCGCGAGGGGACTTTTATTGCGCGTCCTTTGCGGATGAGGAATCAGAACGAGACTGAGACGTCAAAAAGAGATTTTCGGTTATATTGTAATTGCAACTGATTTTCTTCTCCAGTCACATCTTTTCAGCTAAAGAAAAAACTTGTTTATTCAGCATTGTAAAAGGATTTTATTGATAAAATATGGAGCATGTGATTAATTAACAGGATTGTTTGTGTAAGTATAATTGGTTGTTTTGACTTTAAATTTTAAAAATAATTTGTTTTAACTATTTAGAAAACAACTTTTGATTTATAAATAAGATAATTTGATAAATTGATGTAATGATTAGATATTATACAGTCATGTGTTATCGTCTCATGATGATATATTTAAAGGGTAATTAATGTTCGATTCTACTATTCATGTGGAAAAATTTATTAGATTAATGACAATCACGATACGATAAAAAAATTTGTCTTGAACTTAATAAGCTAGAGAATACTTGTGACAGGATCAAAAGAAATATGATTCGAACGAGATTATCAGAATAAATATTAATCGTAGCTCGGATGAGGACTCTAGCTGACTTGACTTAATTTTTGCTGATGTTAAAAGGGGGATTAGAATGTTGTTGTTGTTGTTTTTTAGCTTTAAGTTTTATATGTATTTTTTGAACAAGTTACTCCATCTTAAAGGGAGCTAAAATATTCTAGTTAAAATGTTATTTTAGTATAGACTCATGTTATATCTTCATATCCATATTCTCTAATATATTATAAGCTCTAACAAACACAACTAATTCTCTTATGGACATGCATAAATTCTTTGATATACATGAAGAGAATTTTATGACCGTGTGTTATGATATATAATGATAATCTATGATTATGATATTATATTATAGTTCTGATGCTAATATTTATATATGACTGGTACCAATAATGTTTGATGCATTATATATATATATATATATATATATATATATATATATATAT